CACGCGGCTGATTCTTTGATTTATTGTAGAGATGAGGTCTCACTGCCCAGGCGGATCTCAAACCCGCGGGCTCAGGCAATCCACTCACCTCAGCCTCCCAAAGGTGCGGGATTACAGGCTGAGCCACTGAGCCCGGCTTGTTTTCACTGATTTTTATCAATACTGTCTTCCACTACACTAAGTCTCTTCTCTACTGTGTCAAGTCTGGAATTTATTCTATTGAGTTTTTAATTCACTCTATCATTCATCTTTAAGATTTATAATTATTTCTATGTCACGTCTTCTTGGTTTTTTTTATGTTCTGGCTAATTCTAATTTTATAATTTCTTATTTTTTTAATCTTTAGTCATCGTCGTCATACTACTGCAATTTCAAAGTTTTTGTCAGGTTTTTCTTCGGCTTGTATAATTTCCTATACCAATTGTTTGTTTTAACTCTGTCTTTTCAGGCCAGACATGGTGGCTCACACCTGTAATTCCAGCACTTTGCTGAGCTGGGAGGATTGCTTGAGCCCAGGAGTTCAAGACCAATCTGGGCAACATAGTTAGACCTTGTCTCTTGGTTTTTTGGTGTTTTTTTTTGAGTTGGAGTCTCACTCTGTCACCCAGACTGGAGTGCAGTGGCTGCTCCCGGCCACCGCAGCCTCGACCTGCTGGACTCCGGCGATCCTTCTGCTTCAGCCTTCCAAGTAAGCTGGAACTACAGGCACGCGCTACCACACCCGGCTCATTTTGATTTATTGTAGAGATGAGGTCTTGCTGCCCAGGAGGGTCTCGAACCCGCGGACTCAGGCAATCCACTCACCTCAGCCTCCCAAAGGCACGGGATTACAGGCTGAGCCACTGAACCCGGCTAGACCTTGTCTCTTAAAAAAATAAAAATAAGTCTGTCTTTCTTAGTGTGATGTTTCATTGGGTAATGTGTAACATTGCCTTGCTAGTTCATTTCAAGGTGAACATATTGTGACTATGCATTTCTGCCTTTCTCTCTCACCTGTTGTCATCATTCTCTGTCTAGCAGGGCTTTGTAGCCTCTTCCCTCTCCCAGTCCCAGTCCCAAGATTCTGTTCTGTGATAAGGAGGATGTCACATATAAAGTCATCCTATAAGAGGATGATTTGTCGCAGCTTCTACTCTGAAGTCTGCTGCATCTTTGTCCTCTTGCCTTCCTACGTCCACAAGGCTCCACTAGGTGATAACAAATTGTAGTCCTGGGATGTGTTGGGAGAGATTTCTCAGCATCCTTTTTGGAGTCAGGATAACCCTACCCATCACTTTCCTGGAGCTGGATCCCAGGCTTTCTCTGCCTGCCTAGGGACTTGGAGGCAGTGGATCCTGGCCTCAGTCTCCATTCAATCAGTTTGTGCTTCTCTTCTGTTCCTGATTTTATGTATGTGAGTGTAAATGCCTGTACTGTGTTCACGTATGTACATATGTATACCCATGTATGCACACATGCACATCTATCTTGGTTCTCTCTCTCTCTCTCTCTTTTTTTTTTGAGTTGGAGTCTCACTCTGTCACCCAGCCTGGAGTGCAGTGGCCACTCCCAGTCACCGCAGCCTCGACCTGCTGGGCTCCGGCGATCCTTCTGCCTCAGTCTTCCAGGTAGCTGGAACCACAGGTGTGCACTACTACGCCTGGCTAGTTTTTGATTTATTGTAGAGACAAGGTCTTGCCAAGTTGCCTGGGTGGGTCTCGAACCCGCGAGCTCAGGCAATCCACTCGCCTCGGCCTCCCAAAGTGCTGGAATTACAGGCTGAGCCACCGAGCCTGACCTTTTTAAAACATTTTTTTTTTAGAGTTGGAGTCTTGTTGGGAGCCTCCGTGGAGGCCCGCCTGAGTGTTAGGGATCCAGGCAGGCTGCAGACCCTGAGACCACTAGAATGAATTCAGGAGCTGAAGGCCCATTCCCTCTTCCCTTCTTTGCTTGTTTGGCACCTTCCACTAGCAGGGACTTTGATGATCTAAGCATGAAAGTTCTGAGAGTACGACAGGCATGGCTTATTTTAGGAGTCCATTGTTCCCGTTTCTCACAGACTGTGGTTTCAGCATTAAACTTAACATAACTCAAGCTCAGGTCACATTTGGGAGCCTTTAATACGGTACAAGCTTCTTTTAAGACTTAATAGTATATTTGTAGAATTAGTATATACATACAAAGTGCTGTTTCAACCTTAATAATATAGATAAATATCTAGAGCTACTAGAAACAGGCCAGCACAAACTTTGGGCTGGGCCACATTCCTAAAGGTTTAGCACGAACTTTGGGCTGGGCCACATTCCTAAGGGATACTTTGGACTAGGCTGCTTTCTTTTAAACCGGGTTTTAGCTACAGTTAGTATAGGGTTTTTTCTACTTATTATAGAAATCGAATTTATTTTATTCATAGAAAGTGTTGTAGAATAGGTTATGCTACGTCAGTGAATTATGTCAGTTCAAGCATGATCAAACATGATATTTTGAGGTTTAATAAGAATACAGCTAACTTTAGAAATTACATTGTTTCCATTTTCTACATTTGCGGTTTTGGCTTTAATACAATTTACAGTTTATATTTAGGTTTTATTTTTTAGAAGCTTTATTGCTGATGATCAGGATTAGGAATTAGAAACATTTATAAAAGTTAAAATAGATTTATAGGATTTCAGAACAGTCATTTTGATAAGAGATTGTAATCAATTTTTCCCAGAAATGGCCCAGCATGGTCTTTTGACTGAGCCACATTCCCTAGGAATTGGTTTGGGCTATAATTAAGAGTTTCTATAGTGTAGGTAGAATTAGCATAAAATAGAGAGGAATTGGGAGTTAGGTTGGTTATTAGGTGTTGCGTATGCATAGGTTTTTAAAGTTATTGATTATTAGAATATTATGATATTAGAATTGTTGTATTGCTTTTAAGAAATATTAACCAAGCATGAGGAACAGTGAGATAGTTTTGGGATCCTCATTCCTCATGCTTGGGGAAACACCTGGTGGGTGGGGGAATGCCCCTCATCCACCTGGCTCTATGTTCATGTAAATGTCTTGTGATTTAATTGGGATTGCCTTTCCTCATACTCCAGGAAGCACCTGGTGGGTGAGGGCTGCCCCTCATTCACCTGGCTTTGTGTTCATGTAAAAGTTTTGTGATTTAATTGGGATTGTTCTTCCTCATGCCTGAGGAAACACCTGGTGGGTGGGGAATGCCCCTCTTGCACCTGGATTTGTGTTCACGTGAAAGACTTGTGAGGCTGTCTATGTAAAAATTGGGGATAAATACCCGCTGTAAGTTTCAATAAATGGCTTCTGTTCAATTCACTGAACAGTTGTCTACTTTCTTTCTTTCTCTTTCTTCTTCTTTATGTCTATCCCTCTGTCTTTCTTTTCATATCTATCCCTACGAGTCGCCGACGCCATCACACCTTCCAAGGGACCTCCTAAATCTTTGGGGGCTGGCCCCCTGAAGAGTCTCACTCTGTCGCCCAGACTGGAGTGCAGCGGCCGCTCCCGGCCACCGCAGCCTCGACCCGCTGGGCTCCGGCGATCCTTCCGCCTCAGCCTTCCAAGTAGCTGGAACTACAGGCGCATGCTACCACGTCCGGCTAATTTTTTTTGATTTGTTGTAGAGATGAGGTCTCGCCAAGTTTCCCAGATGGGTCTCGAACCCGCGGGTTCAGGCAATCCACTCACCTCAGCCTCCCAAAGTGTGGGATTACAGGCTGAGCCACCGAGCCTGGCGGTTTTCTCTCTCTAACCTATTGCTGCTCTGTGTATGAAGTAGAGAGGGTCTTTTTTTTTAGTTAGAGTCTCACTCTGTTGCCCAGGCTGGAGTGCCATGGCACACTCACGGCCACCCCAGCATCAACTTGCTAGGCTCAGACCCTCCTTTCTCCTCAGCCTTCCAAGTAGCCACAACTACAGGTGTGTGCTACCACGCCTAGCTAATTTTGTATTGACTGTAGAGACGAGGTCTCGTCAAGTTACCCGGGCTGGTCTCAAAGCCGCGGGCTCAGGCAATTCACTCGCTTCAGCCTCCCAAAGGGCTGGGATTATAGGCGAAGCCACCGAGCCTGGCCAAGAGGGTCTTTATTGCGTACTTTGCCCAGGGGTGTGGACACCCCCTTTAAATGCACACGGTATCCACATTCACAGTAGGGGCTCTCTTTTTCCATGATGAGTCTGAGGGCCAGTGACCTGCCCAGAGTTGCAGGAGGGTCAGCTGAGATCCAAGCTTAAGACCCTCTGACTCCAACCCACATCTTCTCTGACAACATGCACAGCAGCCAGCCAAGGTGTCTGTGTGGGATGGTTGAGGGTGCCCCCTGCCGCCACGCACGTCCCCTTGGTTGCTCCACATGCAGGAGGCTTGCACACCCTCAGTTCCCTACCAGGTACAGTCTACAAATCAGCTCCTGTCTGAATGATCCTTTGAGGGTTTAACAGGCTATTATTTATCAGCTTCCAACAATAATGACATTTTATCCGCTCCACTGCAGAACTGGCCATGGTTTATGTCCAGGAAGGGACGGGTCAGTCATCAGTGCCAAGTTCCCCAGTGGACCCTGAGCTTAGCAGCATAAAGGGAGGGCTTGTGAAGAGCCAGGACAGTCTCCCTGAGCTCCATCAAGTGATCTGTTGAGTGGCTCCGAGCACAGGCCCCAGAGATGAAGACCCTGATTCTGGTCATCAGCCTCAGCCTCCTGGCTACTCTACGGGCCCAGGACTCCTCAGACGAGGAGGTTCAGGATGTGAGGCTTGGTGGGACAGGTGGGCTGGAGGGGCTCGGGGAGAGGCTGAAACTGCTGGTCGAGACCCCATTCCTTGCCCATCCAAGAAGACCCTCATTTTAGGGTCAGACATTAAGCCCCTGCCCTGAGGAAATGGTCAGACAGGGCCAGGTAGGCCGGGGCACAGAGGGGCCCAGCTGGGAAGACGGGGATCAGGCTGACTTCACTTTTCCCCCCCGGAGTAAGGGTTCCCGTGTTCCTGGCCAACTTGCTGGGACTGGGAGCCGGCATTGGGGTGGCTCTGGCGAGGGTCTGGGCGTTTTCGGGGTCGGGGGTGGGAGGTTGGGGAATGCTTCATGTCTCCAGCCCTTGGGACAGGGTGGAGTCTGTGGGCTCCAGACTAGGGGAGGGGGAGGCCCTGTGGGGTCGGCCTGAGCTGATGGAGAGGAGCCTTCTATAGGTGTCAGGGACGTGGTATCTGAAGGCCCTGAAAGCAGAAGTGGAGATTTCTGAGGAGATACTGGAGTCTGTGACCCCTGTGACCATCACACCCCTGGAGGGAGGCAACCTGGAAGTCAAGATCACCATGCTGTGAGTGTCTGCCAGCTGGGCAGCCTGCAACCTGGTCACTGGCCTTCCCTTTCCCACCCAGGATAGCCCAGGAGCTGGGTGGAGTGGGCAGCCCACTTGCAACGCTGCACACTTGACGACTTTGAGGCAAACTGTACCACTGAGGGTGTCTAGCTTGGAGGGGGTCCCCAAGGGGGCATAGGCCCCGGACCAGACCCCATGGGCTGTGAGGGGCCATGCTGGGCACTGCCCACCTCCTCCACTGACTGGGAAACCTCGTCCTGCCTGCTGGGTCCTTTAGGAAAAAGTGCCCTCCACACTAGACCAGAGTCAGAGCTGGTAGGCTGGGCCTCAAGGACTCTGGACTTTGAACTCTTATAGTACATTTCTGGTTTGGGGACCCACAGGGACAGGGCTTGCAGAAAGACCAAGAGGGGAGATAAGACACCGTGGAGAAGGCTTGATAGGCAATGCAAAGACCCCTTTGAAATCTCTGGGTGACTCCCACCTGGGTGACTCCCACCTGGATGACTTCCCACCTGTATGGCTCTTACCTGTGTGACTCTCACCTATGTGACTTCTCACCTGGGTTGTTCTCACCTATGTGACTTTCCACCTGTATGGCTCTTACCTGTGTGACTCTCACCTATGTGACTTCTCACCTGTGTGACTCACGCCTGTACAACTTCCCATCCGTGTGACTTTCCACCTGCATAACTTCCCATCTGTGTGGCTCTCACCTGTGTATGACTTCCCTCTGGTGTGTCTCCCACCTGAGTGACATGGCAGTGTTTGTGCTATGATCCTGGAAGCTGGCCCTTAGGAAGCCATTGACCCTGGTGTTTGCACTTTTTCCCTCAAAGCCTCTAACTCAGGCTTTCCTTCACTGAGCAGTGATGAGCTTGTCCCTGACTGTCTCCCAAAGGAAGAGGGCCAGTTGGAGGGGGCCTGGGTAGGATAGAGTCCCTGCACCATGGCTTAGAGCTCAGTTCATGTCACAGGTGCAGCAAATCAGGTGCCGGTGTCCCTCTGGCAGTAAGAGGGGCGGGGGGAGGGAGATTGAGAGGAGGGGTGCGGAGTTCCTGGTCACCATGGGAGACACATGTACAGGGAGTGTCCAGCTGGCACCTGGGCCTAAGAGGTGGAGAAGCACCCTCCTCCCTGGGCCGTGGCAGCCCTGGGTCTGCTTTCGCTGGGTGCAGCAGCCTGGCTGCTCCGAGCAGGAGAAGGCACAAGCCAGGGCCGCTTGGCTCATGGAGCTTCTGTTTTCCAGGATAAACGGCCAGTGCCAGGAGCTGAAAGGCGTCCTGGAGAAAACTGATGAGCCGGGCAAATACACTACTGGTGAGTCCTGGGTCCTGGGCTGGACCCTGTCCCTAACACATACTGGAAGGATGGGGTAGCCGGCGCTTTGTGGGTCTTGAGAAGCCTTTCACTTCTTTCTGATCATTGAAAGCTCTCCTCCCCTCCCACCCATCCATTTGCCTTAGAGATACAGACACTTGACACTAAATACCAGGTGTGGTGGGCTTGTTCCCAAGAGGAACTGGCCATGACTATGTTCCTGGAAGGGGGCCAGAAGCAGAGTCATTTTTATTTGTCTGGTGGGAGCTGAGCACCCAAGTCTAACCTCCGGGAACCCCACCCCCTGAAACCTCCCTGCGACTCACTGATTTGAGGTATGACCAGCTCTTCCGGTCACTGAGTGCTTGGGAAGTGGGGTCCCACGGTCTGGGGCTCAGGCCTGGGTCAGGGAGCTCTGGGCAGCTGGGGCCATGAGAGCTGCTAGGTTTGCCAGACTGGGCACTGGGTGATCCCCCTTTCTGAAGACTCAGGTGGCTTATTCAGGACGTGTGTTATTGTCCCTCTGCAGACAATGGCAAGCGTGTAATATACTTCATCAAGTCGCTTGTGAAGAACCACTACATTATCTACTGTGAGGGAGAGGAGCACGGGCAGTTGATCAGAATGGCAAAGCTCCTGGGTGAGTCCGCTCACCCCGGCGACCTGTGACCCTGCACCCTCCTTTTCTTTCTCCCTCTGCCTCCTGCACCCCTCCCCTTAGGAGAAGCCACTGGGACCCAAGAACCCACTGCACTTTCTTTTTTCATTTTATTCTATTTTATTTACAAAAATATTTTTGAATTGAGTCTCACTCTGTTGTCCAGGCTGGAGTGCAGCAGCACGATCACAGCTAACACAGCCTCAGCCTGCTGGGTTCAGGTGATCCTCCCGCCTCAGCCTCTTGAGTGGATGGGACTACAGGTGCACACCACCATGCCTGGTTAATTTTTTTTTTTTTAATCTATCGTAGAGACAAAGTCTCACCATGTTGCCCAGGCTGGTCTCAAAGTTCTGGGTTCAGACAATCCTCTCGCCTCAGCCTCCCAAAGTGCTGGGATTACAGGTGTGAGCCACCACGCCTGGCTTGCTGTCTGCTTGGGATTGATTTTCCTGAAGAAAGCCCTCATTCCCGCCCCCAGAACTCAGGGTTAGGTCTCTGCCGCAGAAGACAGGAAGGAGCTACTGCCGCAGGCACAGGGATGCAAAATTAGATGTCACAGGGTGGGCTGAGCTCTTCACTGGGTATAACTTTCTGCAAGGCCACCCATGAGCACCCTTCCTTTGGGGGCATCAGACAGGGCAGAGGAGCGGGTGTGTGAGCAGCAGCTTGCATGGAAAGAGAATTCCAGTCTGAGGACAAGCCCCTGGAAGGCTCCTGAGCTCTCCCCGGTGTGCGATGACAGTGATGGGACGTGTGTGGTACCCTGGTGCCCCAGAGGGGAGATGCATTTCGTCCATGGCCGGGTCAATCTGGCCGCCCTTCCTCACTCCCAGAGATGCTCAGGGGACAGATAGCCCTTGCCACCCCTCCCAGGCCTGCTGCCGTGGGAGTACCTTGAGCTGTTCATTGTGCCCACCCTAACCCTACTTTGCTAGCCCAGCTCTCCTGCCAGCCTGAGGGCCTCAGATTCAAGCCTCCTGTGGGGCGAGGTTGTCCTTCCCAGCCCAGCTCAGTCCCTCAGGGTGGGATGGAGGTGCCAGCACTTTCCCAATTATGCGTCACACACTCATGTCTCGTCCTGGTCCCCTACAGGCAGAGACCCTGGGAACAACCAGGAAGCCTTGGAGGATTTTCAAGAGGTCACAAGAGCCTGGAGACTCAATGCAAATTTCTTCATCCTCAAGCAAAACGGTAGGAAAGATGCACCTACTCAGGTGAAGAGTCATCAGAGTGACCTTTTTTTTGAGCCAAAGTCTCACTCTGCTGCCCAGGATGGAGTGCAGTGGCACGATCATGGCTCACTGCACCCTCAATCTCCTGGGCTTGGGTGATTCTCCCAACTCAGCCTCCAAAGTAGCTGGGACTACAGGTGCACACCACCATGCCTGGCTAATTAAAAAAAATTTTTTTTGTACAGATAGGGTCTTGCTGTGTTGCACAGGCTGATCTTGAACTCCTGGGCTCAAGCAATCCTCCCGGTTCGGCCTCCCAAAGTGCTGGGATTACAGGCTTGAGCCACCACGGCTGGTCTGGAGTGACATTTTATGGGAGCATGTGTACTGCCTCTTATTTTGGTTTTGTTCTTTCTGGGGGCATAGAAAATGTTGGCCGATGGGGGGTCTCCCGGTCCTGACTGAATTCCTGGGGTCTCCTGAATCATGTATTTCCTACTTTTTACAGAAACCTGCTCTCCAGGAAGTGACTAAGGTACGCGAACAGATTTAGAGGACACTTGAGGAAATCCAAGGCTTGGGATTCAGTGGCACTTTAAGAGCCCACGTGATCCCTCTCTCCCACCCCTATTTTTACCTGAGCAGGAAAGACCCCCTTCCCCAACCTTGGGGCCGCAGGCACAGGCTCGGCTCTTAAGCTTTTGATTTCTGTCTCGGATATCATTCTTGGGCATTTGGAAACCTCTTGCGTTGACACACCTTTGGCTGTACTGTCGGTAGAGACAATGTCTACTCGCCCATGTCTTCTAGAGTGCTTGCAGCAGGTGTGAGTAGCTGGAACTACAGTCGCACACCACCACCACATCCAGTATTTATTGTAGAGATGAGGCAATCCTCTCACCTCAGCCTCCCAGTGCCAGGATTATAGGCGTGAGCCACCACACCATCCCAGTCCCTTAATAGTTCCTGTGACTCCGTTTACCCAACGAGTTGCTCAGAAGATTCAGAAATGGGGCAGCCATGCCCCTGATGTGTCAGATTTCCTGGGTCTCTCACCAGCTGCGTATTGTTTGGGAACCGGAGGCTCAGAGGCTTGCCTAAGGTCACCAGCTCAGGTGTGAGCAGAACCAGCATCTGGAACAGTATCGCTGCCCTGCCCTCACCCTCCCGTCGGCCTGAAGTCACCCGTCACCTTTTCACACGTGGGCATGGAGTTCTTTGGGCAGCCTGAGGGCAGGACTTGCTCTGTCTGCTCTGATCTGGTGGCCGGAGCCCCTGAGAGCCCCGCATGTGCCCCCGCCCTGCAGTCCCTGAGAGCCAGCACGTGTCCCCCACACCACAGCACGCCCTTCCTCCTTCTCTGTCCTAACCTCAGACATTCTCCTCATTTCTAGGACAGAGGGCACCTCGGCTTCTCAGTAGCCCCAGGGAGGCACCACCTGGCACCTCTGACCTGTGCGGGGATGTGGAAGAACCCCTCCCACCACCCCCCCCCCGGCTGACCGCACCCCTCCTCTCACCCCCACTACCCTTCCCCATGCCCTGTACCCACCCTCCACTCCTGGTTCTACATAAAGAGTTTTAGCAGTGTCCGTGATTCCATCCTGTCTGTGGGGTTCCTTGGTGGGCTGGTCGGGTGCTCTCTCAGGGGCCTGCTGGGCGTGGGGAGTGGGTAGGAACTGGGTGGAAGGGTCAGATGACCCAGACTTCTCCTTGGTTGTCTGTGGTGGGTGCCACAGGGCAACAGCATGAGATGCCGGGCTGGTGGGAGGCCTGGTGGCTCTGCACCTGGGGAGCGTTTTGCAGGTGTCCCACCCACAGAGCTCAGGTTCTGGGTGGCAGGTGTGGTCCACAGTGCCGTACAAAGAAGACCTGTCAGGCCCAGGACAGAGTGGAGTCTCTGCCCCAGGTGGGTTTGGACAGGGTCACCTAGGCCCTTAGCCCTGATCTTGAGTCTGAGCAGGATGGACCTGGGGGTGGGGAACCACAGCAACTCAGGGTAGGGTGTGGTAGGAGTTGAGTTCCCAGGGAGGCCAACCTCAAGTCTGCTGTGCCCGAACTGTCCCCAGGACCTGGCTTGGGGCTGTCCCTGTTTGTACCTAAGTCGGTTTGGGAAAGTGAGTTACCAGCTTGGGGGTGAGCCATCCACAGGTGTCACCTTATTCAGACACCTTTCCTGGGTGCTGGTGGTTTATAAGATTTAAATAACTTTTTTTTTGAGTTGGAATCTCAATCTGTTGCCCAGGCTGGAGTGCAGTGGCACTCTCACGGCCACCGCAGCCTCTACCTGCTGGGCTCATGTGATCCGTCTGCCTCAGTTTTCCAAGAAACTGGAACTACAGGCATGCACCACCATGCCCGGCTAATTTTTTGATTTATTGTAAAGATGAGATCTCACCAAGTTGCTCAGGTTGGTCTCAAACCTGTGGGCTCAGGCAATCCTCTCACCTCGGCCTACAAAAGTACTGGGATTTTAGGCATGAGCCACCACACCTGGCCAAGATTTAAAGTTTTTTATTTTTATTTTTGCTTTTGAGTTGGGGTCTCACTCTGTTGCCCAGGTTGGAGTGCAGTGGCACAATCATGGCTCACCACAACCTCAACCTCCTGGGCTCAGGTGATCATCCTGCCTCAGCATCCCGAGTAGCTGGAACTATAGGTGTGCACCACCACGCCCAGTTAATTTTTAAAAAATTTTCTGTAAAGACTTTTATTTATTTATTTATTTGAAACGAGATCTTGCTATGTTGCCCAGGTTGGTCTTGAACTCCCGGGTTCAAGCGATCCTCCCGCCTCTATCTCCCAAAGTGCTGGGATTACAGTCAAGAACTTTTTGGGAAAACTCTGTTCCACCTGGGCTCTGCTTTCCAAATCCCAAGAATGGATCTTGGCTCTTATGAGGTGTCTGAGGTTATTCCTTGTAGCAGATACTACCAATGCCCAGTGCCTTGGCTCCAGGGTCTCCATCAGTGGGTAGACTTGACCATGCAGGCTGATACGCCCACTCAGGTGTCCGAGTCTCCCTGCACTGTCCTTCCAGACACTCACAGATCAGTGCCAAGAGCCCATGATGCGCACACCACACTACCTCTGAGGGGAAGCCAGCACCCCAGACCTGCAGGGCCAGTGCCAGAGCCCAGGCCTGGCAACAGGCTGGACTATCACTCAGAGAGGAAAGGATGGTGGGCTATCGGTGATGGAAGAAGGCAGACACATCAACTAGGCTTCACCCTACAAGGAAGCCTCCCACCCTGGGACGGAAAATACTGAGAACCCTCAGTGGGCCACAGAGTGCTATGTGGGAGCTGAAAAAGAGGGTTTGGAGGGGGATTTCTTGTACCGTGGACCCACTGCCCTCAGATGCTTTGCATTTTATTTTATCTGAATATATTTCCCTTAGTTTTTATTCTTGAAGAATATTTCTTTTTTATTGAGTTGGGATCTCACTCTGCTGCCCAGGCTGGAGTGCAGTGGCATGATCATGGCTCGCTGCAGTCTTGAACTTCTGAGCTCAGGCCATCCTTCCACCTCAGCCTCCTGAGTATCTGGGACTACAGGCACGTGCCACCTCGCCAGGCTAATATTTTGATTTATTGTAGAGATGAGGTCTCACCAAGTTGCCCAGGCTGGTCTTGAATTCCTGGGCTCAGGCAATCCTTTTCCCTCTGCCTCCCAAAGTGCTGGGATTATAGGAGTGAGCCACCACACCTGGCCAGCTATTTCTACTATCTATGTTGTCTCAGGGTCAGTCCTTTCTATTAAGAACGAGCATAGTTTTCTGTTTCTTTATATGTTTAGTACTTTTGGATTGTATCCTGAACATTGTGAATGGTGTATAAACTCTGGATTTTGTTAGGTTCCTCTGAAGAGCATTTTTTTATTTTTTATTTTTTGAGTTGGAGTCTCACTGTCGCCCAGATCGGAATGCAGTGGCCGCTCCCGACCACCACAGTCTTGACCTGCTGGGCTCCAGCGATCCCTCTGCCTCAGCCCTCCAAGTAGCTGGAACTACAGGCGCGTGCTACCACGCCCGGCTAATTTTTTTGATTTATTGTAGAGATGAGGTCTCGTCAAGTTGCCCAGGCGGGTCTCGAACCCGTGGGCTCAGGCAATCCACTCACCTCAGCCTCCCAAAGGCGCAGGATTATAGGCTGAGCCACTGAGCCTGGCTGGAAGAGCATTTTTTTTAAAGCAGGAAGTTAATTTGATGAATTCAGAATGCAGGCTCTGCTTACCCTATAGTGAGTAGCAATCCCAAAAGGGGAGCACGTGTTTGAACTAAGAAATGACCCGAGTCACCAACGTCTCCCACTCTGCTGGTAGAATCACTTGTTACTGCTGATCCAGGGAAACTTTACCCAGTTTACCTTGACTAGAGAAAAGGACCATCATGCATACAAAGTTACCATAAAGAGAAAGCAGAATCCGAGTGTCGTAAGTGGGGCTTCCCTATACCCTGCATCGAGCACATTCAGGTTATTCTGCTCCACCAATCTGGCCTGTGATGGATTGAGGGCGACTTCCAGGGACACTCCTAGCCTATAATTCCAGTCTGCTCCATGTGTAGTCTGGGCATGCTCCTGCATCTAGAGAAAAAAAATCTTCAAGCAAGGAATCACAGGCGTGTGGCCAGGAACAGCCCATGCACACACGGAAGACAAATCTGGGGGAATGTGGGTGGGGTCCTCACATCACCATCTGTCCTCCACCTCTTAGGCTGCTCAGAGACATGTAGTCCCATGTGACTGTCACTGAAGCTTTACCGGCCAGTACAGTTCTGTGCTCCTTTACCCTGAACGTGGCTTGTCCAGTGGAGTCGCCATACATTCACCCCTGAGGTGTCTGAGCTCTGGGTTGGAGCTCCTGTCAGGCTCTGGTCGTGGAAGTCGTCTCATTGTGATAGACAGTTATGAGCATCACTGGGCATGGAGTAACCAGCAGATGCTGCCATGAATCCCCTGGATTCTAAACTTAGTCTTCTCTGTTCCTCCTAGGTAGTGGCAACCCCACCAGTTCACAATAATCAGGGCCAACTTCCCACCAAGATATAGTAACTATTTTATTTACCTGCTCATGCCAAAACGACCTAGTGGGAGCCAACACGACAGGTTGATTGGGGCACTCGCTGTAGCTCCTGGTGAAAGTGCTCCCCCTTGCCGGACACAGCGGCTCATGCTTGTAATCCCAGCCCTTTGAGAGGCTGAGGCAAGAGGATTGCCCAAGCTCAGGGGTTACCAGCCTGGGCAACATGGCGAGACCTTGTCTCTACAATAAATCAAAAAATTAGCCAGGTGTGGTGACACACACCTGTATTTCCAGTTACTTGGAAAGCTGAAGCATAAGGATCACCTGAACCCAGCAGGTCAAGACTGCGGTGGCCATGAGCGTGCCACTGCACTCCAGCCTGGGCAAGAGTGAGATTCCAACTCAAAAAAAAAAAAAAAAAAAGTACTGCCCCTCATGGTAACCCAAGGCTTTAATCTTGCAGAAACTAAAGCTGCAGGGATGGCAAATTTATAGCTTTAAATGGTTCCATAAGAAAAAAAGTAAACTCTTAAGTCAGTGGCCCAAATCTTCACCTTAAGGAGAAAAGAACAAATTGTGCCTAAAGTAGGTAGTAGAAGAAAGGAAATAAAGATAAGAGAAGAAATGGATGATGAGGAGAGCAGATGTGGTAGGTGAGTGTGCACCCGGACATTCTGTTCCCTGGCCATTTGGATTCTGTGCCAGTTACAGATTTACTGCTCCTTCTGTTTCAAATTCCCATTTGATCACCCTACATGGGGCTGGAGCTGGACCCTGTGGACATTTCTTTGTAGCTGGTGCAGTGTTAGGCATTTTCACTAGAATGCACTAGAGTCTCAGTGGAAGAAAGTCAACTTCTTTGTCCCAAGGGGCTTGCCTGTCAATCAAGATACCCAGCGGCGCTTACCCTCCGTGAATTCAGCAGCATCCCTATGGGTGACTTTCCTATGCGTTTTGCGGGTACCCAGCCTCGGTAAATTTCTGCCATCCAGGGAGCCACAGACTTACCCTCCTCTGGGTAAGTCCGAGCCTCTCCTTCCAAGTGCATTCCTACCTTGGCTACTCAACCTCAGCTTACACCTGTTTCTGTTATTTCTATATTGCTTAGAATTCTCCTTACTCTTTAGTAACCACTTCCCTGATACCAGTTAATAATTCTTTTTTTTTTTTTTGAGTCAGGGTCTCACACTGTCACCCAGGCTGGAGTGCAGTGGCAGAATCAGGGCTCACCGCAGCCTCCACTGCCTGGGTTCAAGTGATCTTCCTGCTCAGCCTCCAGAGTAGCTGGGACTACAGGTGCGGCTAACTTTTTGATTTTTTTGTAGTGATGAGGTCTTGCTACGTTGCCCAGGGTGGTCTCGAACTCCTGGGCTCCAGCGGTCCTCCCACCTCGGAAAGGGCTGGGACTACAAGCATGAGTCACTGTGCCTGGCCTACCAGTTAATAATTCTTTCTATTAAACTTTGCCTGTTCAAATGACTGTGCAGCCTGCTTCCTGACAACCTTTACTATGTTGACTATGTCTTTTGTTTTCTGAATTCTGACATCTGGGGCCTTGCT